AGTGTAACTGTGAATATGGCGAATGAAGCCCCGCCTTCTAGTACAGGAGCCAATCAGCAATCGCTATAGGATAGCAATTCTCCGGGGGAGGGGCTGGGGCCAGTTGTGCGTTTCTGCAGATTTTGTTTCGTTTAGAAATGAAACTAGACGTAAGATAGACAGTAGCTAGACAGTCGTTGTTTAATTCTATTGGTTATTCGTAATATGGAATTTAATCGTAAGCTCGGCGAGCAGTTTTAGAGATATTGATGTTTCCCCATTGAAACAGAATGCCCAAGCATACTGCCCGAGAGGTGTTTCAAAGATGGCCACTGAGTGAAATGACTTGCATTAAAGAGACTTTGGTTATGCAGAAAGGCTGGGCAGTGTACAGTTACATCCTTTTCTGAAACCTCGAGGAGTGTATGGATGTGTTTGTGTGGACGGACTCGCCATCAGCTGTCAATCAATGTTCACTGCATAGAAAGTGCTTCACTTAGAGTTTTCATCTTGTTTCTAGCGCAGTTTTTTTATTTTCATTAAGAAGCATTTTTCGTGTTTTGCATGTTTTCAGAAATGACGAATCAAAATAAAGTGAGGGTTTTCTTTAAAACAAGTGAAATAATCTTATTTGGGCTTTAAAATGATGTTACTGCAGGTGATATTCATGTGTGTGTGCGTACAGAAGGTGCGTCTAAGGAATAATTGACGATGGACTGCTGTATTATTGAAAACTGATGAGCGCACACTTGGAGTCTGCATTAATTTTCAATAAGTCAAGGATCGCTAGATCAATTATTTACTGTACACCGCTGCATTGATGAATTCTTGATCAGATTGGATGATGCATGCTCATATACTGTACATCATGTGGTCTCTGTAAACAATAAGATATACAGCCCTCTTACAGTCTTCTGAATGTGGAAACTCACAGAAATACACAACATACATCATTCATTTTCATTCGGCTTAGTCCTTTTATCAATCAGGGGTCGCCACAGAGAAATGAACCGCCAACTTATCCTGCATATGTTTTAAGCAGCAGATGCCCTTCCAGCTGCAACCCATAACTGGGAAACATCCATACACTCATTCACAAACACACACTACGACAATTAGCTCACCCAATTCCCCTATAGCGCATGTGTTTGGACTGTGGGGGAAACCAGAGCACTCGGAGGAAACCCACACCAACACGAGGAGAACATGCAAACTCCACACAGAAATGGCAGATGATCTTTTTTGGTTCCTTTTCTAGACATTTCTGGACTCTTGCTGTCTATGGAGGATGAGAGAGCTCCAGGATTTCATCTAAAATGTCTTAATCTGTGTGTGAAGATGAACAAAGGCCTCTGGGGAACATGAGGGTGAGTATTTAATTACTTAATCACTTTTGGGTGGACTAAAACAAGATACTTGTTGTGTCACTCCAGTACGACTGTGGACACTATATAACTTTTTGGTTCATTCAACGTTATACAGTTGAAAGCAGAAGTTTACATCCACTGTATAAAAAGCCTCATAAGCATTTAAGTCAGATGTTAATGTGATTAAACTTTTTCTCCTTTAGGTAAACGAGGATGATCACATGTGTTTGTTCAGCTTATTAGCAGATTAAAGAGAGAGATATTGTTTGAGAAATTGTTAATATTGTTATAGTTCTCTACTTGAATTCTCAACTTCTCTGACCACATTTCTAGAACTGCTCGATTTTGCAGATTCGCACTCTATAACCTCAGAAAGGTCCGACCCTTCCTATCTGAACATGCAGCTCATCTCCTTGTTCAAGCTCTTGTTCTCTCCAGACTGGACTATTGCAACTCTCTACTAGCCGGGCTTCCAGCTAACTCTATTAAACCTCTTCAACTGCTCCAGAACGCAGCAGCACGAGTGGTCTTCAATGAAGCTAAAAGAGCACATGTCACTCTGCTGCTCATCCGTTTGCACTGGCTGCCAGTTGCTGCTCGCATCAAATTCAAAGCTCTGATGTTTGCTTACAAAGCGACTTCTGGCTTTGCTCCTTCTTATCTGCTCTCACTTCTGCAGATGTATGTGCCCTCCAGAAACTTGCGTTCTGTGAATGAACGTCGCCTCGTGGTCCCATCCCAAAGAGGGAAGAAATCACTTTCCCGAACTCTCGCATTCAATCTGCCCAGTTGGTGGAATGAACTCCCTAACTGCATCAGAACGGCAGAGTCACTCGCTGTCTTCAAGAAACGACTACAAACTCAACTATTTAGTCTCCACTTCACTTCCTAATCTCCAATTGTTTTTTTGGCTTCACCGCTAACTGTATTTAAAAAAAAAAAAAATTGCAAACAGTTTTGGAAAGTTTGCTGATTTCGCATTCAAACAGAATGCTGAGCACACTGATAAGAAGTGTTTCAAAGATGGCCGGCGAGTGATATGCAAATGAGTTATTGCTAGAAGGGATACAGCTGCAACCAGAAGCTAACAAGAATTATTTATGTTATTTATTATATTATTTATTGTCTTTTATTAACTACTTCCCTGACCCCAACCCTAAACCCAACCATCACAGTAATGTATAAACAGTAATTATATTAAGTATTATTCACATCATTTGTTAAATTACTAATTAAATTATATTTTATTAACGTCTACCCGCTACCCCAACCCTCACAGTGCTGTAAAATGTTGATTATTCTTGTACAGTGTCACATAAATGATGCTATATTGATGTGAGTGTCCACAGCTGTATCCCGTCTAGACTTTACCAATCAAATGACTGGCTTTAAAGGAACCCATTAGGCTTCAGGAGAGGACTGTGATGGGAAAGACCTGCTGGTAAATATTTCGCAACAGTTTTTAAAAGTAATGTAAAGAAATTGAAATTCTAAATGGCTTATAAAGGCGTTCTGCGCACATTTGTTTGATTTGTTTTCTCAGTTCTGCATTGGGAATGCTTGGAGATATTCATTCAAGCACAGGATCACATTGCTGTTCTCGCACTGCCCAATGCTTCCCTCTAGTGCACGATCTTCACACTACAAACTGCTGTAAAACCACCTGTTGTGTCACTGAGATTGAAGTCAAGATGGTTTAATATTCGCACATTTGTTCATTTTTGAACAGTGACAACTTGTGACATGCTCTCTCTGTTGTACTTCGAATATTTGACTGAAATCACATGTAAGTAAGACTTCAAAACAACATTAGCACTATTTATTGACTGCAAACAGTGCTGTGGCTTCAATGGCTGCTAATGTGATTTCACTACTTAGAATTTGTTATTAATTTCTTTAATTATGTTTTGGCTTTTGACCGCATCTGAGTGTTTCTTTCTGCTTTATTACATTGCTTTCTTTATTAATTTCCTTTAGTATTGTTATGTCTGTCAATATTTAGTTTTATTCTCTTATGCAGCATTTTAATAAACATTTGCCATTTTTAAAAGTAAATTGTAAGTATATTGTGCCTTGACACAATCCGTATTGTATAACATGCCATTTAAAAATACAGATGACTTGACATACAATCTAGCCTTCTGAGTTAAATTGATAGGATTATTGAAAATAGGAAAAAAATGAATGAGATGTTCAGCCTAAAATGAATGAGTGTGTTCCTGAAGGGAGCTTACTCTGTAAAGAGGAGTAATCTTATTAGACGGCTCACTGTATAGTAAGCGTTATTGTTCCATTACGCTCTTCATAATCACTTCTGCACCATCTATCTAGAGTCGTAGACTAAACGATCATCCCTCTGTGAAATTTGGGTTGTGTGCTGTTTAACTGGGGTATTTTAAACACAATTTTAAACTTAATACTAATTTCTAATCACTAATTTCTTTTGTGTTTGCCATGAGGCCAGTACATGAATTACTAGTGCATGAATCACATCCAAAAGAAGTGTGCATGTAGATTTCATTGCGTATATGCACAGATGAAAATATATATAGATATATATAGATAGATAGATATATATATATATATATATATATATATATATATATATATATATATATATATATATATATATATATATATATATATATATATATATATATATATATATATATATATATATATATATATATATATATATATATATATATATATATATATATATATATATATATATATATATATATATATATATATATATATATATATATATATATATATATATATATATATATATATATATATATATATATATATATATATATATATATATATATATATATATATATATATATATATATATATATATATTCATGTGTGGAGTTTGCATGTTCTCCCCGTGTTGGTGTGGGTTTCTCCAGGTGCTCCGTTTTCAGTCCAAACACATGCGCTATAGGGGAATTGATCAACTAAATTGGCTGTAGTGTGTGTGCACGTGTGTGTGTGCGTTTGTGTTTGTGCGTTTGTGTTTGTGTGTGTGTGTGTGTGTGTGTGTGTGTGTGTGTGTGTGTGAATGGGTGTGTATTGGTTTTCCCAGTGATGGGTTGCAGCTGGAAGGGCATCCCCTGCGTAAAACATAAGCTGGAATAGTTGGGGGTTCATTCCCCTGTGGTGACCCCTGATGAATAAAGGGACTAACCCAAAGGAAAATGAATGAATATCACAATGACGTAACAAATACATATAACACACACACACACACACTATGTCAGAACAAACTTTTATTTTGGATGCCATTAATCTTTGCCCAGCACTATAAATGACATTATTTTTTCTCCACATTTACAGCATTTTAATAACTTATTCTGTAAATATGACAGGCTATTTATATTTTAGGCTGTGAGTGTTCATGAATAGTATATTTCTTGTCTTTAATAGACGGTGAAAACATCATCATACAGTTATGAAAAACGTGTGTGATTCTTATTTTATAGCGGTTTCTTCGCTGTGTGTGTGTGTGCGTGGTGTGTTCATCACAACGTGCACAGGTGTAGAGTGATCAGCTGATCCTCTTTATGCTGAGCTCTGCAAACACACACACACACACTCACTCTCTCACACACGCTCCTGTGCTCCATTTCACACACCTCCAGCCTCAGATCCAGGAACAGCAGAGAAGACGCTCACACAGGTACATCCACACTCTCCTCATGTTTTCATATCATTTTCATATTTGTCTTCAGTTGTTTGAGGTGGAGATGTAAAACAGTCATAGCTCGTCCTCTGGTGTGAAGATAGTGACTGTAAATGTAGCGGCGGTCATGATGTCACTCTATAGGGTACAGTAACCTTAATCCTCATCTAAATCTGCACACTTTCTGCTCTGATGTATGTGATCATATACTGCTCACTGTATATGTAACATGTTTACATGCATTAGCTATACTTTGTGTGTTTTCGTCTTTGTTGTTGGTATTACTATTATTATTTTTGTACACTATGGTCTAATATTTTGTGTAATATATATATATAGGATACTATTATTATACTGTTATAATTAATAATAAGTATATAACAAATATGCTTTAAATATCACCTTTATAATTTATATTATTACTATTATTATTTTTAATTATTATTATTATTATTATTATTATTATTCATTCATTTTCTTGTCGTCTTAGTCCCTTTATTAATCCGAGGTCGCCACAGCGGAATGAACCGCCAACTTATCCAGCAAGTCTTTTACGCAGCGGATGCCCTTCCAGCCGCAACCCATCTCTGGGAAACATCCACATACACATTCACACACACACACACACACACACACTTTAACACTACGGACAATTTAGCCTACCCAGTTCACCTGTACCGCATGTCTTTGGACTGTGAGGGAAACCGGAGCGACCGGAGGAAACCCACGCGATGGCAGGGAGAACATGCAAACTCCACACAGAAACGCCAACTGAGCCGAGGCTCGAACCAGCGACCTTCTTGCTGTGAGGCGACAGCACTACCTACTGCGCCACTGCCTCGCCTATTATTATTATTATTATTAATATTCATTATTATTGTTGTTATTATTTATATTATTATTAATTAATATTATTATTAGTATTAATTATTATTATAATATTATTATTATTAGGGCGATGTAGTGGCGCAGTAGGTAGTGTTGTCACACAGCAAGAAGGTCGCTGGTTTGAGCCTCGGCTGGGTCAGTTGGCATTAATGTGTGGAGTTTGAATGTTCTCCCTGCGTTCGTGTGGGTTTCCTCCGGGTGCTCCGGTTTCCCCCACAGTCCAAAGACTTGTGGTACAGGTGAATTGGGTAGGCTAAATTGTCCGTAGTGTATGAGTGTGTGTGTAAATGAGTGTGTATGGGGATGTTTCCCAAAGATGGGTTGCAGCTGGAAGAGCATCCGCTGCGTCAAAACATGTACTGGATAAGTTGGAGGTTCATTCCGCTGTGGCGACCCCGGATTAATAAAGGGACTAAGCCGACAAGAAAATGAATGAATGAATTACTATTGTCATTATATTATTCATTATTTTTATTTTCCTTTTCTCTTTCTTCTTCTAATATTGAATAATTAATTTTCTATTATTCA